GATGCTAAAATAGATGGGCTTGCGTGTAGAGGCAAGCTGAGCAGGTGGATACATGTCCCACTTGCCATGTCAACGTTGCCATCGCGAAAGAGCCTCGAATGTCCCTGGCCTGTTGTGGTCCTAATTTAACTTAATGTATCATATGAATTGACCTTATCTAGCTATTTATGTATACATATGCATAGGTGTATGTGTGTGTGTGTGTATGCGTATATGTATTGGTTAGAGGGCGAACAAAAGTGTAAAATGAAGTTTTATCAGTCGCCTCTGAATCAGGTAGGCTGCTTGCGATGTCTTTCGCCTTTCGGCCCTCTTAAGGGGACCCGCCTCCAAAACTCGGTAAAAATTTCTTCTTTTCGTCAATATCTTTCTTGTTTCTCTCCATTGTCGGGACTCGGCTCCCACCCTCTCGTCCTTTGAAAGCACACAGCTACGTGTCCACCCAATAGCCTGGAGAAAACGGCTGGCCGCACATGAGTCATCCTGTCCGCTGGGCTGTCGGTCTGAAGCATAGTTGCCTGGACTGCAGACATTTCTATTGATCCTCTGATCCGTCGACCTGCCGGTCATGTTGCCCTAGAGGCTATCAGACGGAGTGGGTAAGATGGGGTGGGTTGATGGTGTTGAGGACAGCATGAAAAACACACAAAGGCATGTCAGCAAGCTGGAATGAAGGGTGATTAAAATTAGCTTTATCCCCAGTCTCGTCTCTCGATGAGAAAGAACCAACTTTATTCATTTTAAGTGAATCCACTTAAAGCGAACTCGACCTTACGGCCGATATCATTTTCGGAGGCAATATGACTTAAATATGAAGGAAAGGCGGTTCTCGAAGACTCCTTTAAAAGATTGATACTGGCATAGCTTTTATTTCGTTTGAAAAGGCGGGTTGGGAGGGATTTTTTAATTGGCCCCACAGAAATTCGAAGGAAGGTTGCCTTGGCCTTGTGGCTATTAGATTGTGTAAAGAAGACCTCGATTCACCGTCATGTGACGGACATCCTCAGAGCCATAAACCATTATTTACTAAAAGTCGCGAAGAAATGTGACCGGCTGAAATTCTGCTTACTTTTTCTACCTCACTTTGCGATCTTAACTAAGTATTCCATCTACCACATAGCTACTTTTAGTTTCTCCTGCATGCATACATACGAGTGAAGTTGATACAGGAAAGGGAGCGGTTTCGATCACTACTTTTCGTTATAGTGACCATTGGTTTCGAAATTCATCACTACACCAAGACCAAGAAACCAATGGCTAGACAAGTTAATCACATTAGACTTTTGAAAGTATGTTCTTCGCGTAGTATTATTCCTAAGTTTTGTATTCTTGGTAGCCTAATTTGCCGATTAGTATAAAGGTGGATCTTATAAAAATATATAATGATTTTGTTAAAGAAATAATCCATGGAAAATGTTAAGGTTACACAAGTTGATCAGAACAAAAACAAGACTTAGACCATCTCTAATTTGATGGATTTCCTTAAGCTACAATCGGTGGATGATACGGTAAGAAACTTACGAATTGGACCATTAAAGAATATACAGAGATTATCCACAGAAGAAGGGAAAAATAAAATGGGTCAGAAATACCATTAGAAGGTATTGCCAAAGAAGTTCGATCTGGAGGTCCTAATTATGCTTTGCCAAATAGTAAAAGTTTCACTGTAGAGATCTTGGTGTAAGCTATTAACCGATTAGCAGAATATTCCAGAAGTGAGATAAAAAATATATGTTGCTATTCTAATTGATAACCATTTAGAAGTACCAAATAAGAATAGGTGGGTTGAAATTAATAGTAAGAAGCTTATACAACACAAACAAATAGTTTTGAGGGCAGACAAAGGAAGAGCAATTGTAGTTATGTATAGGGCAAATTATTTAGAAAAGATGATTCAAGTCTTAGCCGATTTTGTCACGTATATAATTAAACTAAGGACCCTTCAGAAACACTAAAGACGAGACTTAATTGTCCCCTACAACAATGCGTTAGTAGTGGAAAATAAAT